ATCTTCTGAAGCTGGTCATATACATACCCTACAGCCCAGCAAATTGGCCCTTACGCGTATTCTCAACAGAAAAGCATACACATGAGTACAAATTATCACAACACTATTCACAATGACCCCAACCTGGAAACAACACAAATGCTCACCAAAGTAAGAATGGACAAATATAAAATGGTATACTCAAACAATGGAAAAACTCTCTAGCAATGAACATGAACAAACTTCTATTTAATGCAAAATATGAATGAATTTCATTAATGTAAGCGAAAGAATACTGATACGTCCTCTATGGTTCAATATCTATGATGTTTAAAATCAGACCAAGCTAAATGATGGTTTAATCAACAGGCAGAAAATATCAGTTAAGCAAGATGAATAAGCTCTAGAGGTCGGCTACAGCATTGTGTCTGTAGCCAAAAATGTCCAATTAAAATTTAAGAAGATATATCTGATGGTGTGTCCTTATCACAATAAAATCCACGACGAACAAACAAAAAACTAAACTAAATGATGGTGTTAAAGGTAGGATAGTGGTTACATTGCTGGAGGAGGGAGAGGAGTAACAAGTGGGATTGGACACAAGAGGCTTCCCTGACCCTCATTATGTTCTATTTCTTAATCTCATGGTGATTATAAGTGTGTGTTCCTGTTGTGATAATTCATCAAGCTCTATGCTTCTGATGCACTTTTCTGTATGTTATATATCGATAAACTTTAGGAGATCATAAAGCAGCCAATTGTGGTTACAATACAGGTTAAATGAGCATTTATTGAAGGCCTTGTGCTTTTTAAGTATTATTCATTTTCTTCTTCATCATAACCTGATGGAAAATATATTCAATATCTTTATTTTATAGATGGAAATCCTGAGCCTGAGGGGAAGTAAGCAAATTGTCCAAGATCTCACAGCTTGTTTTTCTGTCTTCAAAGGTTTTGTTTTCTGAACTGTATTTATGTCTCGTCTTATAGTTTTCTTCAGAATTCACAAATTGCCTTGCAGAAATATTTTACTTAAGTAATCCAGATAGTTGAATTTAATCATGTAAATTCCAAAGAAAGACAACCCAACGACTGGAACCATTAACAATAATAAAAAAAAAGATAAGCCATTGTATATAACTCTGTCTTTGCTTTCCAGATCATTCCTTGAGAATGTAACTTCTCAAGGTAACAGAGAAGTTAACAGAACCTCTCAATAATGAGCCTAGGATACTTGCTAGAGCCCTGCAAGTTAAATGTAGCTGAAATAGGAAAGTAACCATGATTTACTTCATTCACTCAAAGTGAAAGAAATATAACTTTTAAACATTTTTCTAAATTAAATCAATCTGTTCTCCAACACATTCACCAAGGTTGGAAGAAAATCCAATTTTTAACTGACAGAAAATCTAATTTTATTCATGGAGTGAGTAGGTGAGACCTGTTTTCTATCTCAGAATTCTAGGAGGAATCCCAGGGCCTACTGGAAATTTGAGATGGGACTTTGACCTTGACCTCACTGTCAAATGTTCTCCGTCCAAGCTGAACAATGTATTCCACACCAAACTTCACAGCTAGGAATCTCACTGTTGCTTGATCATGCAGGCGTCCCCCATGTGAGAACTGGGCAGCCCCTCCCACTTATAAATTCGTTTCTGCCACCTACTTCCCTCAAATACAGGGCACCCTACTCTCAACTCTTAAGAGCTCGGACCTTTTTAGATAATTCAGCTCCTGGACTGCATTCTAGGAAAACTATTGGAAGAACCTAAGGGACTTATAACCAAAATGTCCTGGGCAGCACGTTGGAAACATCTGGAAAATGTTTGGCACACAGTTTAAGCAGATGTGTATGTATGGAAATTTCCAGAAAATAGATTGATAGGGCTCCAGCCAAAGCAGTCGAAGTTTAACTTGATTCTATAGTCGCAGACTGGGTGTGCCTGGGTATTCCCCCCAAGGAACAAGACCAGCCTTTAGAATTTCCCAAAAGCTATGGTTTGGGAAAAGCAGAAAAACGTGCTTGGGATGAGGACGGCACTTTTTTGGGCAGGTCATCAGTGATAGAGGAAGATCAGTAGTGGAGACTCTATAGATGTAGAATAGCTCCCTGGATGTGCATGGGTACATGCATGTGCAGAAAGAAGTGGTAGGGCTCCCCTCCCTTCTAGAATGTCATGCAGCCTGAGTGGTGTTGCAAGGAAGTTCCTAGGAAAATGGGGTGGGGGGCATTGAAATAAAATTTCCTTAGGAGTACCTCACACCCTTAACTGGTTTTCTCAGGGTTGGTGTGGTCTAAGAAACAAAGCTTGCGTGTATTTTGGTCTATGCTAATATAATAGGATTAATAATTACAATAATTACACCGGTCAGTGAGCCTCACCTACATTCCAGCTACTGTGCTAAGTGCTTTAGATTCATCATGCTGGTTACCATCCTGAAAGTAAATACCCATTAGCCCTATTTCACAGGGCCAAGTAAACCTGAGCTGTTAATACATAACATATCCAGGATTCAAGTCCAAGTCCAAATCCAAAGGCTGTGTGTTTACCATTATTCCACATTTTTTTCTTGAGAATAAAGCCAATGTATACGATATTATTCCCTTCTTCCCAAAGCTCTGGGTCCCAAAGTTGACAATAGACATGCTGGATTTGAACTGCTAGGACCAGTTGGGAGAGAATATGAACCTTATGCAAGCTGGAAAATACAGAAATAATTTACTAGCAGCAATGAATTTGAATTTTGTTTTTTTAGGTTAGTAGTGGTTTTTTTCCCTTTTTTTTCCAATCAAAGTATATTTGACACATAATGTTACATTAGTTTCAGGTGTACAACGTACAACAAATTTCTATGTGGTTCTATTCTCACAAGTGTAGCTACATCTGTCACCATACAACACTATTACAGTATCACTGACTATATTCCCTATGATGTACCTTTTATTCCATAACTGGAAGCCTGTATCTCCCACTCCCCTTCATCCATTTTCCCATCCCCCACCCCCTTTTCATTGCATGGGTGGAATGGCAACAATATTTCAATAGTTCTGAAACAAATTAGAATGTGACTCCTTTTTGTTTGTTTGTTTGTTTTTGTTTTTTGTCCCAGGCAATTAGATCTACTGATCTCTTGCCTCATCTTAAAAGAAAAAAATGGAAAAGTTTTAGTAATTATAAAAAAAATTAGAAAATAAGCACTCTATGAATTGTACACTTTGAACAGATGAGTTTTTTTAAGTCTGTTAAAAATGTTTTAATTGTTAAAATACATTGGTAAATTGAGTAATCTACATTGCAGTACTAGGTGGCTACACGGTCAAATTAAGAACTTTTCAAATACCCTACTAACCATCAGTTAGAAGTCCTTGAAAATAGTATAGGATTAACATGATGAGAAGCTGCAATCACGCAAAGGAGAATGGAAGTATCAATGGCTATGAAGGATTGGTGGTGACATATGCCTTCGACTAAAGTATACAGAAAGTCAAAACGTGCATTATATCAAAAACTAATGATATACTATACATTGGCTAATTGAATCTAAATTTAAAAAAACGTGCATAGGGCATGCAAATTTCAGTGGCTTATTTTTAAATACTGCAATGCAATACATTGTTCCTAACAAAAGAAATTCTCTGACACTTAAATAAAGCTGAAAACCAAATAGTAAGAAAAGGGAAAGAGATAATAGTAAGAATTTAACCATTTTACAACTAAAAATGTGAAGTAGAAATAGTGAAAGGTAACACATAAATATGTTACTTTAGGTAATTCATTTATAGTGCCTTAAGTTATAAATAGAAGAAGGATTTTGTTATATAAAAACTATCAAAAAATTATCAGTGAAAAGACACGATCTTCATGAGCTGTGTTGAAGCCAGTGTGAAAATGCTGCAGCACTGTGTCAGCCTGTCTTTCACAGGAGGACCCCAGAAAGTTCCTTATACCCGCGTATTGGTCACCCAGTTCCTTTCTAGTACCACAACATTCCGCGTGTACCCACGGTTTCAACTATGGGGGGGAAGGCGGAGCAGTCAAGTGTTTATAATTTCCTAGGAAATTTCTGTGCACGTTGCGACGTCCCACGGAATGAAACTCCTTCCAAATCTTAATGAGCAAGCTCTTGATTATTGAGTCATGATAGTTTCTTCTCGTTTTTTCGTACAGTGTTTGGATACCGTACTGACAGCTTCAGACGGTAGACCTGCATATCCCCCTTCCATAGTTCCTCCTCTCGTCATCTACCCTTGCTGATTCTTCCGGTACATCTTCAGCGGTTCTTGCAGCTCCTCGGCCGGGCCGTGCTCGTGGGGGTGGAGTTCCCGCAGCCCGTAGAGCCGCGGGCCTGGCCTGGGAAGGGGACGTCGGGAGCTGGCCGCCGGGGGTCCTGCGGGCGGAGGCGGAGGCGGAGGCGGAGGGCGGCGCCCAGAGCGGGAGGCGGAGGCGGAGGCGGAGGCGGAGGCGGAGGCGGAGGGCGGCGCCCAGAGCGGGAGGCGGAGGCGGAGGCGGAGGCGGAGGCGGAGGCGGAGGGCGGCGCCCAGAGCGGGAGGCGGAGGCGGAGGCGGAGGGCGGCGCCCAGAGCGGGAGGCGGAGGCGGAGGCGGAGGCGGAGGCGGAGGCGGAGGCGGAGGCGGAGGGCGGCGCCCAGAGCGGGAGGCGGGGGCGGAGGGCGGCGCCCAGAGCGGGAGGCGGAGGCGGAGGCGGAGGCGGAGGCGGAGGCGGAGGGCGGCGCCCAGAGCGGGAGGCGGAGGCGGAGGCGGAGGGCGGCGCCCAGAGCGGGAGGCGGAGGCGGAGGCGGAGGCGGAGGCGGAGGGCGGTGCCCAGAGCGGGAGGCGGAGGCGGAGGCGGAGGCGGAGGCGGAGGGCGGCGCCCAGAGCGGGAGGCGGAGGCGGAGGGCGGTGCCCAGAGCGGGAGGCGGAGGCGGAGGCGGAGGCGGAGGGCGGCGCCCAGAGCGGGAGGCGGAGGCGGAGGCGGAGGCGGAGGCGGAGGGCGGCGCCCAGAGCGGGAGGCGGAGGCGGAGGTGGGGGTGGGGGGCCGTCGCGGGGGCGGGGGTGCGGACGCCCCCTTTCGCCCCCTTTCGCCGCGGAGGGACTAAAGCCCGGGCCCTGCGGCCAGGCGCGGGCCAGGGCAGAAAACCCCGAACGGATATTTATGGTAAGTAAATTGTATTTCCCGAAACTGCTAAAAATAAAAGTATACTTTCGTATTAAAGAGTTATTTGTGTGACTGGTTGCACAGATTCCCTCCTGTCATTTGTCATTCTGCAATCAGCCACTGTATGCGGCTGCACAGTTGGACGTTTCCAGGGCGTTGCCGTTATAAATGCCACTGTTTTACAAAGGTGGGTATAAATAGCTTTTATTATTTTAAGATAAATTTCTAATAGTGGATTCAATAGATCGAAAGCTATGACTCTTTTAGGGTTCTTGTTCTCTGTTGATAGAAATAGTGCACCGATTTTAATGGCACTGCCAACTTGGAGTTCACACGTATCTTGCTGGTCTTTCCAGCCTCTTCTTGATTTGATGTAGTTGAGTGGCTAATATCAGATGTACTTTATAATTTCGGAAAAGTTCAACTAGTTTTCCTTATTTCTTCCCTGTAGGCTAAGAATTTTTCTGCAAGTGTTTTAAGGATGAGGTATTGCTAGTTTTCGATTAAACTAAAATGAAATACATTTTTATAACCTAGTACTTAAAAAAGAATAAAAATAGTAAAGTTTTTTTTTTTACTTTTCTTACTTTTCTTCCTTGTTTTCCCTGTGTGTGGTACAATTCACTCTTTCCTTGTTGTTATAAAGATGTTGATAACATCTGCAAACAAGACAATACCGAAGACTTTAAAAGTTATAAGCATCCCTCCCCCCAAAAATAAAAAATAAAAGTATGAGCATCCCATTTCCTAGATGAGGTTACAAATTGTATAGACTGTGAATGCCCATTTCTGTTTGTTATTTAGCTGTTACCTTCATCTTATGTACTTAAAAAAGAATTGGCTTTAAAAAAGTGGGGGGTGGTATTAATGTGACTTTTGCTTTAGGCACTGAGGAGTGTAAGACTCCAGAGTAAATTGTGGCAATCAGATTATGAGAATCTTGAAGGCTAAAACAATGTCTTAATTCCTATCTTGAATCTTTCAAAGTATACAGTAAGTGCTTAATAGGATCTCATTAAATAACATTAAATTTTCACTTCTGAGCAATTTCCCACGATTCCAGTCAGTAGGAAGAAATCTCAGGTGTGGCCTGAAGGTTGGTTCTATCTATAATAAGTATCTGCTCTCAAAGTGCAAACTAATAGGAAAACATCTTAATAGCATTTATCATCCAGTAACAATATATTTATCATTAAGAAGTTGCTGTGTGAATTGAACAAAGCTGAAGGCATTTAGCTTTGCATTATAGTTTGCTAAACAGAGAATCTAAACAAATTTTCAGAGGGAAATGTTTAACCAATTTAAGAGAACTATTTTCAAGTATTACAATAGTTTCCATTTGCATAAAAATAAATGCTGACTAAAAATGGACCTTCTTTATTTTTTTATTTTATTTTTTTAAAGATTTTATTTATTTATTTGACGGAGACACAGTGAGAGAGGGAACACAAGCAGGGGGAGTGGGAGAGGCAGAAGCAGGCTTCCCGCGGAGCAGGGAGCCCAATGCGGGGCTCTATCCCAGGACCCTGGGATCATGACCTGAGCCAAAGGCAGACGCTTAACGACTGAGCCACCCAGACGCCTCTGAACCTTCTTTATTGATTAAATCAAGGATGCATTGTTAGAATTAAAAATTACTATTACTGTATTTCTGTAAGGTAATAAAATGATATTTCTTTTTTTTTTTTTTTTAAGATTTTATTTATTTATTTGACAGAGAGAGACAGTGAGAGAGGGAACACAAGCAGGCAGAGTGGGAGAGGGAGAAGCAGGCTCCCCGCTGAGCAGAGAGCCCGATGCGGGGCTCGATCCCAGGACCCTGGGATCATGACCTGAGCTGAAGGCAGACACTTAACGACTGAGCCACCCAGGCGCCCCTGATATTTCTTTAAAAAAAATCACTAGCTTTTTTTGTTTTCACTGTATTTCTGAGAGGTGCAGCTGATTGCTTGTGATTATCATAAAATGAAACCCAAACTTCAGAGGTCAGGTGATTTGCCTGAGGGCACACAGTGAGCTGCAGCTTTAGGACCAAACCCCAGGTCTCCAGCTCCAAATCTCAGATTCTCATCATCACACAAGCTTTTTTTAAACCACTGTCCCAGACAACACTGCTTCAAGGAGAACATGCTCTTTGCACTATTACCTTTTAGAAAGTCATTTCAGAAGATTAAATATGCAAAGGCATAAAGAAATCAGTTCAGTTTAGTTTACCTTGGAGTAGAGGGCTTAAAAATATCAAGGTTTATTTTTTCAAAGAAAAGTTTAAGAATTATTTCTATTTTTCCTTGTGAGATAAATGGTGATTAGCCCATAAGCTTATAAATACTTTTAGGAATGTCATGTCAAAAACAGGCTATGACGTGGATGGAACTGGAGGGTATTATGCTGAGCGAAATAAGTCAGAGAAAGACATGTATCATATGATCTCACTGATTTGAGGAATTCTTTTTTTTTTTTTTAATTTGAGAGAGAGAGAATGAGAGACAGAGAGCATGAGAGGGAGGAGGGTCAGAGGGAGAAGCAGACTCCCCGCTGAGCAGGGAGCCCGATGCGGGACTCGATCCCGGGACTCCAGGATCATGACCTGAGCCGAAGGCAGTCGCTTAACCAACTGAGCCACCCAGGCGCCCTGATTTGAGGAATTCTTAATCTCAGGAAACAAACTGAGGTTTGCTGGAGTGGCGGGGAGTGGGAGGGATGGGGTGACTGGGTGATAGACATTGGGGAGGGTATGTGCTATGGTGAGCACTGTGAATTGTGTAAGACTGTTGAATCACAGACCTGTACCTCTGAAACAAATAATACATTATATGTTAAAAAAAAAGATAGTAGAAAGGGAAAAATGAAGGGGGAAAATTGGAGGGGGAGATGAACCATGAGACTATGGACTGAGAAACAAACTGAGGGTTCTAGAGGGGAGGGGTTGGGGGGATGGGGTAGCCTGGTGATGGGTATTAAGGAGGGCACGTATTAAATGGAGCACTGGGTGTTATACGCAAACAATGAATCATGGAACACTACATCAAAAACTAATGATGTAATGTATAGTGATTAACATAACATAATAAAATAAAAAAATGCAAAACAACAACAACAACAACAACAACAAAAAAAACAGGCCTCCCTTAACCATTATACAGTATTCCCCCCCTTACTCACAGAAGATATGTTCCAAGACTCCCAGTGGATATCTGAAACTGGGCATAGTACCAAACCCTATATATACCAGGTTTTTCCCTTTACATACAAACCTGTGATGAAGTTTAATTTATAAATTAGGCACAGTAAAAAATTAACAATAATAAAATAGAACAATTAAAACAATATACTGTAATAAAACTTATGTGAATGTTCTCTCATTCTAAAAATATTTACTTACCCTTCTTCTTGTGATGATGTGAGATGATAAAATGCCTACGTGTTGAGACGAAGTGAGGAGAATGACGATGGTAGCCATTGTAACGTGGCCTTAAGGTACCATTGACCTTCTGACCACTCCTCAGGAGGATCCTCTGCCTCAGGACCACGGTTGAGCATGGGTAACCGAAACTGGGGACAGCAAGACTGTAGATAAGGATAGACTTCTATATTGGTTACTCTACTAGATGGAAATAAAGTTCATTTGCTGACCTCTTATTTGACTCTCAGTGGACTATATTATAGCCCCTCATGTTATGTTAAAACAAAACCAACAACAAACAGATAAAAAATAAATAAACAAATCTGCTTGCCTTTTGCTGTATGTCTCTGAAAATGTTTTGGATTTTCCTCAGTTATTTTTCAAACATATAAAAAGCTTTGTTTATTTTTTTTAACAATAATAATACCCATTATATAGACATTCTTAAGAAGACCGTTCTCATATGTGGACATAGTTTTCAGGTGGATATGTCTGTGAGCTAAACCATTTCTTCTCTCTTTTTTTTTTTTTTCTCAGTGGGATCATGAGATGATCATCTGTTATGTGTGTCACAGCAGGAAAGGGGTAAGAAGAGAGCAGATGAACCAGATCTCCTCTTCATTTTATAGGTGAGAACTTTTGATCCTAGAAAGGTAACAGGACTTGCTAAAATCATTGACAGAGCTGGACTTCTCACTGGGACTTTTGTTCCATGTTGTCCTTTTCTATCCTTCTATGGAGGCTTTCACCCACCCCAAGCTACGGCATCATTAACAAGCTTAAGTTCTTGGAGGAAGCAAGAACTTCCTTCTTGCTTGAGGCAAAGGCATGAAAATTTTAGAATGGCCAGCCCTGAACTACAAATTTCTACTTCTCTTTTTTCCCCTTTCCAGCCAGAATTGACAGTTTGCTATCAAGGGCCTGAATATAATCAAGGGTAGGGAGACAGGGCAGCTAATGGCAAAAAGTGGAAGAGAATGCTTTCTTCTTCCACCATGGCTAATTTGAAAAAAAAAACCCAAAAAACAAAAACACAGTTATGTAATATCATGAACTCTTATATTTTATTTCTGCTGGGTTTCTAATTCAGTTAGTACTGTGGAGATAGGTTAAGATTTTACCTTTTTCTTGAAATCACTTTTTAAGTTTTAAATAAGAGAATTGGAAGTTGAAAAGTTCACAAGTAGGGCGCCTGGGTGGCTCAGTTGGTTAAGCGACTGCGTTCGGCTCAGGTCATGATCCCAGAGTCCCGGGATCGAGTCCCACATCAGGCTCCCTGCTCAGCGGAGAGTCTGCTTCTCCCTCTAACCCTACCCCCTCTTGCGCTCTCTCTCTCACTCTCTCTCTCTCTAAAATAAATAAATAAAATCTTTAAAAAAAAAGAAAAGAAAAGTTCACAAGTGAAATGTAATAAGAATCTATCAGGCTTAGGGGTGCCTGGGTGGCTCAGTTCGTTAAACGTCGGACTCTTGATTTTGGCTCAGGTGGCTGTCTCAGGGTCGTGAGATCGAGCCCTGCCTGGAGAGACCTGTGTGGGCTAGGTGTGGAGCCTGCTTAAGATTCTTTTTCTTCCTCTCTCTCCACCCCTCCCCCCACTTGCGAGGATGCAGGCTTTCTCTCTCTTTCTCAAAAAAAAAAAAAGAAAAAAAAAAGATCTGTCAGGCTTAGGTCTCCTGATAGTTCTCAAAACTAAATTGCTCTACTTATATATATGGTAAGATAAATTATCCACCAACTAACCAATGCCCCATAAGTAAAGGTCAAAAAGAACAAAACCATGCCCCATAAGTAAAGGTCTAGGTTAATTCCAACAAAATGTGTCTTTTGTTTGTTTGTTTGTTTGTTTAGAAAGGGAGAGGTGTGGGGAGGGGCAGAGGGAGAGAGAGAGAGAGAATCTTAAGCAGGCTCCACGCTCAGTGTGGAGCCCTACTTGGGGCTCAATCCCACAACCCTGAGATCATGACCTGAGCTGAAATCAAGAGTTGGACCCTTAACCGACTGAGCCACCCAGGCGCCCCAAAATGTGTCTTCTAAAGCCAAAGAAAATAATTGGAAATACTGCATAAATACATGATACCAAAATTATTTCCAAAAAGGTAGACTATATTTATTTAAAATGCTGTCAGTATGGTACACATGTGTCTATTCTAAGGTAACTTCCCTTGCTTTGGTATTATTTGAAAAAAATTAGCCATTATGTTTTTCGTTATTGTTGTTGTTTTAACCCAAAAGGTAAGTAAAAATTTAGGTATGGACTGATTTTATTCCAATCTGGAGTTGTTAGAGTATGTCAGTTTATATGACCAGATATTATATGAAGTATCTATATGGAATATTATTAAGTAGGAGAAAGGAAAAAAGGGATACTTTGTATTAGTCAGGGCTCTCCAGGAACGCAAAACCAATGTATATTATAAGGTTTACTATGAGGGATTATCTCTTAGTTATGGAGGCTGAGATGTCCCACAACCTGCTATCTGAAAGCTGGAGACCAAGGAAAACCGGTGGGTAGTTCAGTTCAAGTCCAAAATCTGAATTCCAGGGAACTGATGGCATAAGTCTTTCTGAGGACAGATCAATGTCTAGCTCATGTGCTCAGGCAGAAAGGGCAAATTTTTACTTACCCCAAGGCTTTTGTTTTATTCAGGCCTTCAGTGGATTGGATGATGCCCACGCACACTGGGGAGGGCAATCCGCCTTACTGAGTCCACCAATTCAAATGCTAAGCCAATCAACAAATGCTCTCACAGATACACTCAGAAAAAACAATAGCTAAATATGTGGGTACTGCATGACCCAGTCAAGTTGATACATGAAACTAGCCATCACAGATCCACCCCTTATGAACTTGGCACCCACACCCATCTCCTTAAATTATACTTAATCTCAAAATAAAGCCAGTAACAATGTCATAATTCTGCCTAACAAGATACAAGCATACTGTATACAACCAAAACGACACTAACCTTTTCCTCAGAAGAGGAGGTAGAGTACTTGCATCATGTTCACTCTTTACCTTGATATCCTGCAACTTAAATACTATTATGTAAAATTAATATTTATATGCATCAATTAAAAAGTTACTGTGATGTGAAGTTAATACGTCTTATATTACATGACACGAGAATAAGAGAGAAAACAAAGATACCCACACATATGTACAGTTTTATTCATGATAAACAATAAGGAAATGCTCCATATTAATATTCTTTAATAATAAGGAGTAAATACTCATGGCCATGGTATTCTTTGTTTCTGACTGGTCCTGCTGGTTGTAGCTGGTATTTATGACTCCTTTTTTTTTTTTAATTTTTTTGTTTCTTTATTTTTTTAAAATTTTATTTTATTATGTTACATTAGTCACCATACATCATTAATTTTTGATGTTGTGATCCACGATTCATTGTTTTCATATAACACCCAGTGAATTTATTTTTTAAAAATATTTTTTATTTATTTTTTTATTTATATTGTTAGTCACCATATAGTACTTCATTCCTGAAAGATGTAGGCCTCAGTAGGAGTCTTGCCTGCTTTGGGTTGCGGCAGTTTTCCATTCCTTTGTGTTTGGAACAGAGGGCGTCATAATTTATCCCAGCTTTCAGTTCTTCCCATTGTGGGTAATATTCTTACCATGTATAAGTCCTTGATTCTGTGACATGAATCATTTTTATCCATTCATTGTTCTATGAAATGTACCTTTGTCACCTGTTGGCAGTTAATCCTTCTGGCGGACCACAAGGCACTACACATTATGGAGTGCCTCCAGAATGGAGATTTCAGCTCACCTACGCTTCCTGAAGACGTAAACACACTGAAAACACAGCATTGCATCCCCAGGGCTAATAAAAATCAGTTCTAAGTAAACTGAGAGCTCCAGTATTATGCCAACTCTTAGGTTGGTTATTCCGCTAAAAGGAAATAAAATTTCATTTGTTGGATTCGTATTTGGCTCCCAGCTTACTATGTTATAGATCCTCTTGGTATTTTAAAACAAAACAGACAAATACTAAAAGGTATTCGGTCCAGCTGAGCACCTCAGTGAAGAGTTGGCTCTCTGGGTCTGAGGGGAGGAGAGGAGACACAAGCAGCAATGAAGAAAAACCCGGTGGGGCACGTCGTCCAGACTGTCCCTGAAGTGCAGGGAACATCGCTGAACACTATGAACACTGCATGGCACCGCTCAGCTGTTCCAGCCTCCTGCCAGGGCTGCTCAGCTGTCTTCATTATTATCCCTCTCTTTCTTTCCTCAGGGACCTGTCCTGCCGCTTTTTTTCCGTGGAGATATTTACATAAAAAATCTTAAATCTCATCGGTAGGGTTCCTGAATCTCTTACTTCGCTTTCTCCAGGAGGTGATATTTTACTTCTAGGTGAGAGCCCACATGGACTGTCAGTGTCGGGCAGCTGCAGCTGGGTCTCCTGTGGGTCTTTATCAAAGTGACCACAGACAAAGCCCTGGGCCAGCTGCTGAGGGCAGGTGGTCAGCCTTTCACTCATGAGAGGGACCACCCAGGAGAAAAACAATACCAATTTATAACAACTATTAAATGAGCTATTATTTGTGATAGAACAGTGCCTGCCACATGTTAAGTGTTTGGTAAAAGTAAAACAAATCAATTTGGAGGGACGAGTGGGACTCCTGGGGTCTTAGTCACAGAGAGGCATTACGGATGTGGTAATGGGTCGGATCATGTACGCCCAACATTCATGTCCACCCAGAACCTCAAAATGGAATCTCATTTGGAGTAAGAGTCTTTGCAGATGTAATTAGGGTAAAAGATTGAGATGAAATCATACTGGATTAGGGTGGACTCTAAATCCAGTGAAAATTATAAGAGATAGAAGAGAAATACAGGGAAGAAGGAATGTGAAGATGGGGGCAGAGATTGGAACAATGCATTTACAAGCCAGGGAATGCCAAGAATTGCAAACAACCACCAGAAGTGGGGAAAGAGGCATAAAATGGTTTCTCCCTCAGAGTCTCCAGAGAGAACCAACCCTGCCAAGACCTTGATTTTGGATATTTGGCCTACAGAACTGTGAGAGGATAAATTTCTGTTGTTTTAAGATACCCAGTTTATGGTAGTTTGCCGCAGTGACAGAAAACGAATGCAGATTTCTATCTTAAGTCCATACAAATTCTATATTTGTTAGGTCATGGAAGAATACAAAAAGGTTTGTTCTGGAAGGGTAAGTTGCCTGCAAATATTCTTATGATCTTAACCCAAACGAACCTGTATATGCAAAGAATGTTAATACAGTGAACACACACACCAGTGTAATAATACAAGCATTTGGGAAGGAGGTTGCCAACCCATACACTTCTCTGAAAACTGGTTTCCATGAACCCGGGCAACCATTTTTATGACATGTGACCTTGCCTTTCCTCCATGGCTGCAGTTGTTTGTCCCCAGGGGCAAGGGATCCCGGACTTCTCAGCCTAAATGAAGTCTTTTTTCCTAGAACTTTGGAGTCGGAATACAAAGCCATTGGTCAGTCTTTGCTGATTCTTCAGTGAAGGACACATCAAGCTGAGAGGACTCAGTTGACCATGAATTAAGAAAGTGGAGACACTGCAAAGAGAGACAGAAAGAAGCAGACGTAGAAGGGACTGGATAAAAGACTAC